AAGAAAAACTTTAATATAAGTTTAACATAAGTTTTACATTTGTTGTTATGTTAAACTTATATTAAAGTTTTTCTTCATTACCCATTCAAGCCGTCTCCAGCCATTATTAGTCTCAAGGTGGGTTCCTCGTCACCAAATTTAAATTCAGATTATATTTTGTCTGTTTTTTTTTTTCAGTGTACTTGTTCTGGCATGTCATAATGGTTGCTGAATTTCAAAACAAATACTCAATAAAGATACATATCCACCTCAGATCTCCAAAACGAACTAGCAAAAGGGTCCAAAAAAAAAGGGGGATCAATCGTACATCGATAAGAATGCATTGTCGATAAACCTAACTAGTGAAATACAAAATGGAAGTGGATAAACTAGAGTGGTTTTGACTCAGCGTGTAAGTGCTGCTTATTGTCTCTGGTCAATAATGCACATTGCAGCAGCATGAAGAAACAGCATATAAAAGATACCGCTTACTAAATAGACCAATCAAACGTATATATACATATATTCAGAACCTGACTTATTGCTGAAGAACTAGAATAACCTCTTTTCTATACACACGTACATATGCGGTTATAAGTTTATCGAACAGGACAAAAAACAAGAGATAAAACACGTGATTAATAACGACAAGTAAAACAGGTATCGAACTAATCTTGATAAGAAATCTGCACGCGCAGATAAAAATAGTACCCGAAAAAAAGAAAAGTGCATTTCGAGTATTTTTGCAAGTTTCTGTAGCACTATTGTGCTAAGAGAACCTACAAAAGTAAAAACATTATTTGGAATTACTTAATACTTTATGTTTTCAAATATGAATATTAGGTAAAATTTATGGCACTATTGTGCTAAGAGAACCTACAAAAGTAAAAAACATTATTTGGAATTACTTAATACCTTATGTTTTCAAATATGAATATTAGGTCAAATTTATGGCACTACTGTGCTAAGAGAACCTACAAAAGTAAAAAACATTGTTTGGAATTACTTAATACCGTATGTTTTCAAATATGAATATTAGGTAAAACATGTTTATTTAAGGCCTTCTTTTTGTTATTACGGAACTTCAATTTAGTTAAGTTATCCGAGAATCAGAAAGCTAATCCATAATCCCAGCTAGTGTTTAGTGTTAAGAAAGGAGACTTAGAGTAAGATAAAAATCCAATGTCTCTTACTATGCATAATTAAAAAAAAAAATACCTGTGCGAAAGGCGGACTGTCGTTTCGGGAAGGTGAACAATACATTAATGTGCGTTTATATGTATATATATATATAGAGGGTGACCGGAAATTACGTTAACAAAATTGTAAGCTTGTGTTTCAGTGACAGGAGCCTTGAGTTTCCGTTTCAGTGACTACTGGAATTTCATTAGACCAACGGAAATACATTTCATCATACATTGAATTTAACGGTAGCGTGACAGAATCTGACAGGAGTTTCAACGGATTCAGAAATTAAATGTTAATAAATTTGTTAACATAATTTCCGGACACACTGTAGTTTCGTCTGTGGGCAGTATGTTAGCGAATCACCTACTCAGAAAATAACGAGATATAAGACACCTTCTGCGTACCAGGTTTGAATAAAGAAAGTATAAATTAAAATACATTCTTATAACAAAATTTCCTATTGATCTCGAAAAATGACGCCCGAAACAAAATTATAACAAGGACAAGTGATTTATCTGCATTTCAAAAATACAACTCAACACAACTGCCTATCACAGATTAAAAAATTTCGACTTCTCTTTATAAAGATTCTACCTTTAATCGTAAAACTAATCTAAAATACAAATACGCTCCACTTTAAAGAACATTATGCTATAATACATAATAATGCGTACACTTTATTCTGTAATACCCGAGTATTTTGTACTAGAAACGATTATCCTAAAATACACACAACAAATATACATGAAGACGTATTACAGAATATTCCATTAACAACAAAGTACAATTAGTGTATTTCATATTAGTGTAAAAGATTAATATAGCTTTCGTTGACAAAAAAATAATTTTAGAAAACATTTCATATGGCTTAAATCGTTATTCGAGACTTTTAAGGAAGCGCTGTACAGCTAGGGTGTAATAATAACAGTTATTATATACATAAATTATTAACTTTTAATGTTTCACTTAGGGCAGTGTATTGTAAGAGCCTGAATGGAATACTCTTCAAAATGATTTATCGTCGAATAATGTCTCTATGAATGTTTGATATTCACTGGAGACCACGAACATAATCAAGGATGTTTATTAAACAGATTGTGTAAACTTTTTTAAGTCATAAAACATTTTCTTAACATATTTTTGAAATAGTATTCTGGTTCATTAAAAGGTTACACCAATAAACTGATATTTTGATGCAACCATAAAAAGTAGGATTTTAAAACAACATATATTATTTTGCGTGTAAACAATAGCCATTTTCAATATATAATGTAATCAGTAAAATCCAGTACTATTTATGTAAACAAACACATACATATATATATATATTCTGTAGGTATTGCTTACTCTATTAAATGGAAGAGTTGTATTCAAATAAATAATAGTGAGACATTAATTAGTTACATTTGTGTAGATTATTGTCAGATGAAGACAAATGCAAGAGCCCCCCAGTGGCATAGCGGTATGTCTACGGATTTACAACGCTAGAAACCGGGTTTTGATACTCGTGGTGGGCAGAGCACAGATAGCCCTTCGTGTAGCTTTGTGCCTAACTACAAATAATTGCAAATGTTGCCCAAACGTTGTCCCATTATTATCCCCGTCAAGGTTGACTTTCGATTTAATAGTATAAACTAAGAATCAACAGATGTTCCCCAGTTTCTTGAAAGAATATACCGCAGAACAGGGATTCTCAAACTGTGGTACGCGTACCACTGTTGGAACGTGGAGCTAATGTCGGTGGTACACGATACAATTAATATAAAAAATCATAAAATGTGTAATAACTTCTATCTGAGCTTTCCACGTACATATACATACTACTCTCCTCACTTATAGACTCATCCTCTACCTGCATGGACTCGCCAGTATTTTCTTCCCTTCAAATTGACAAAAATGGTACCACAAATTCGTCAATCGTGCCAGAAAAAAAACCATCTCATCCTTCGCATTAATGGGTAAGTGTTAAAAATGTGAATTTTTGTTACTAGGTTTTATCTTTTTTTAAATTAGGCCTGGGTTTGTAATTTAAAAAAAAATTAACAAAAAGTGGTACGCAAGCCTGAAACGTTTGAGGACCACAGTCGTAGAATAATCAAAAGGTTGTCATTTTAAATACACAATCAATAATGCTATTTCTAAGTACAGTAATAATAATTGGTCATATTTCATAGTAGCTATGATGAACAAACCGTAAAATCAAAAGCTAAGCTGTTGAAAATAACACCAGTAAGACGTTAACACCAGGGCATAATTTTTTAAAATAAAAAACAAATAAACATAAATATCGAAAAGCGACTAAAAACAAAATAAATGACATAGGTCATTTTAAGCAAGTAAACTTAAAAAACAAATACCTTATGAACTTGCCCAAAAAAAAGATATAATGATGGTTGGGTACTGTTTGTAGTTTGTCACAATGCCATAGGAATGAAAGAACATTATAATTGAAACAAGTTTTACTATACATATATATATAGCTGAATAAGTCAACTATCTAGTATGAAGAATATGCACGCATTTTATTACACTATATATATAAATGTATATATATGTATTGCTTCCTTGTTATTCGGGTTATACTAATCAAAATAAAAAACGTTGGCATTATTACAATGAAATAATTACTTGTAAATACAGACAAAAAGTATGTTACTTCGAACACAACTGCCAACTTGCAGTACAAACGAGAACAAAAGATTATATCCAACTGTCGAATTTTCATCGAATAACATAGAAAAAACTTTATACTATTTTTTACGTTTTCTTAGAAACTCAGGAATTAAGGCTTCTGGTTGAAGAACAAAAACTTTCTGCACAAGAATCGCTAAAACACACATGTTCTGAATTATCTTCACCCTGCGATAGAACCGTCATACAACTCTCTGTCATGTCCATGTTTTTAGGAAAAATAGTGCTATTAGTTACAATAGGAAATAAATCACTTTTGACGCTTTGAGGCAAAACTTTTTTTTCTCCTCTTCTGTTGGCAAACGACGCAGTTTCTTCATCTTCAAAGCTTTTTTCTGACAATTTTTCTTTTCTTGGTAACTTTAGAAATGCGCCTGAAAAAACACAAGGATTCATTTTTATTTAAAGAAGATAACGATGAAAGTTTATGAATAACGATAACGTGAAGAAAAGGAAACTTAACTATGGAAAATAAATAACAAAGCTTTGATATTCTTCACAAAAATATAAGGAGATTAAGAACTAAAATAAAAAAGGTGAGTATTTTTGTAACATCCTTTGTTACAGTTATTATTAATGTAATAAGTGGGACTTCTTTTTCATTGCAATTTGTATCGGAGTATCAAACCGATAAAAGTAAAGCAAAACAAGAGACAAAATAGAATCTTTGTTAATGTTTTTTTATCATTTTGCAAATCAGGCGGATTTCATTTTGGAGTGACTTTCTGAGACCTTCATTTCAACCCTTTCCCCCCATGATACATGCTTTAAAAATTTTTGGTCATAAACGTATTTGGTATACTTTATATATATTTTGTCCTTTTAGATTGTACTTTATTGAAATAATTGTAGTTCCATATCGCCCATAATATACATTTTATGGCCACACGATTGAAAATAATGGTATAGGTGGCACCACCAATCATTTAAGTTTTATATAATCTTCAATATAAAATTTGTACGTACAGCTCATCTCTCTAGTTCAAAACTAACTTGCTGGCAACACAGTAGAAAATGAACCGCGTGTTATTACAGACATGAATACAGTGCTGGTGTAACATTAAGAAAATATGCTGCACTAGTGAAACATAGCAGCCGGAACTTTCTCATATTCGTCCGAATCATTTTCAGTACCAATTTATCACGTCCTACCAAATTTGGAAGCCTTCATTACTACAGATGCGACACATATTGAACATGTGTTGTCGACCGACATCGGAATACAAGTGACACTCATATATCATTTCGTGTTTCGGTGAAATGTCGAAGAGTATTCACTTATTCATTTATCCACGACACTATAATTACACACACACACACACCTGTTATAAAAATGTAACCATTTCTAATTGTTTGTTTGTAGTTAAGCACAAAGCTACACAAAGGGCATCTGTGCTCTGCCCACTACGGGTATCGAAACCCGGTTTCTAGGGTTTTAAGTCCGCAGACATACCGCTGTGCCACTGGGGGGAGGGGGCACCATTTCTAATAAAGTCTACCTCGAACACATAAACACCATTTCGAAGATACCTGAATTAACGCCTTGTTGTACATTCTTTTGATGAGAAGACTGATTCTCCTGCATGTCCTCTTCACTCTCTTCACTACTGTTACTACTACCAGCAGTAGACTCTAGAAGCTCGGATATTTTCTGTATCAAAGTAAAAGTTGTATCGAAGATTATTAAAGCTTATTAAACTTCATTTGTTATACACAGTTTTAAAACCAACTGAGGCGTTTGAGTTAAAAGATTGATTTAAATTAAATTACGGCAACGTTTTCTTTGTTCAAATCTGAATAAACTTACTTATATTAACGTGGTTTAATTTGAATTTTGCGCAAAGCTACTCTTGGGGTATATGTATTAGCCACCCCTATTTTACAGGAAAGGTAGCTATTTAACACTATCCATCATCAACTCTTGGGCTACTCTTTTACCAACGAATAGTGGATCAAGTGTCACATTATAATGCCCCCGCAGCTGAAAGAGCGGTGAAGAGATCCGAACCCACAACATGCAGATTGCGAGCCAAGCGACCTAATCACTAGGCCATATTAGCAAGATGAAGACCTGCGCTAACAAATCAAAATACCGAACTCAAACAAACTTCAGAACCAGTAGCTGAAGTCCGTTAAAATATTTCTGTTAAGTACAATTTCTCGACGTAAACTATTTTATTTAAACTATATGCAATTTTCTGATAAATTTTATAATTAAGTAGATCATTCCAATACCTTATTAATAACATAGTTTTGTATCGTTTATAACCTAATTACCCCGAACGGCCAATCCAACACTGGGTAAAGGTTAACAGCCAAATATTTTTGATTTTTTTTGGTCTACTTTACATCCCATTATAGATGTTTCATTTTATTTATAAGATGAGATTCTGAAGATTTTATTATACTGTATATTAATATGTAACACCATCAAAACGTCAGGTTGGTGTGAAATAAAAAAAATCACGTTCAATTTCCGGTCACAGATTTTAAGGAGTTCATAATTAATTTGTACATAAATTTCAATTAACCTTTTAAATGTGTAAAATCATACCTGAAAATGATGAACGTTCGCTTCTGGAGAAACGTGAATCCAGGAACTCCTGCAGCCTTCTTTAATAGTTTTCACAGCAGCTGGGTCAGTCACTGACGATATTCTAAACAGCTCTGCTGAATTCGATTCATGACAACAAGGAAGGGGGGAAAACTCGTTTTTGTCCAGTAAACTGTTTAGAATCTGTATCTTCTCTGCTACAGACAAGCCATTACTCTCGAATGACAGCTGCTCGACATCCATATTAATATTCCTCTGACTTGCTAAAGCATGACCTTTAACCTCTGCTGTACATCTTACAGAGATTTTGTCTGAATTTATATTTTTGTGTTTCACGAGATCACGACTTCGTGGTGACAAGCTATGACTGGTTTCTGGTTTCTGTGGTTGCTTCAATGTTTTTTCATCTGAAACTTTCGATGACTTTTTATAAAGTTCAGGATATTTTAACCTCACTTTAGGAACATTTTTATTTTTATTTGTTGGCTGTTTTTGTTTAATATTACTTAGTTCTTTATTTCCCTCTTTGTGAACATTAATAAAAGAGTTAGTAAAGATAGGTATTTTAGTTCTTTCGGCTTTTGATTGACCATTGTCAGAGATTCCTAGAACGGGAATCCGCGAAGTTGTTGGTTTTAGTTGGCTAGGTTTTGGAAGAATTGTGGGTTTGGCTTTTTCACGTGTCACTATATTTTGGATAACAGGTGGCGTTCTTTTGCAATTTGGCCTCGCTGAATTTTCTTTATCCTGTGATTGCTGTGATGTGTCATTTTCCTGTTTAGAATGTGCGAAGTGAGAATCTGATAACGTGGAAAGTGTTGGTTTCTTTGAACTAAACAATTCATTTGAGTGTTCTGATCTCATAGAAGCATCAAGTGCCTCAGCTTGAGTTCTGTTAAGGAATTTGTGGCATTCTTTTTTCACTTCATTTTTCAAACCATTTACTACTGGATTAAACTTAGTTTGCAGTGATGCTTCTCCAAGTATAGACTGGCATTTAGATTTTAAGTTTAATTGGTTTTCTGGTTTGTTAGTGGCAATATCCAAACACACTGAAGAAGGATGATTACAGACATCGCTTTTGGAAAGTGAATAATCATCCTGAAGAGTTCTTGGAGCGGAATCTTCCCCAATTTCTCCAGAATTTTCTGCTTGCAATATGTTTTTATCAGAGAATAAAACTCCTCTTAGAGAGGAAATGTAATTCTTTGAATTAGATTCTGGCATTTCATCTAAATACCCATCTTCTGTGTCATAGGAGTATGAAGTTAGTACTGTTGTAGAGTTAAGTGTCTTAGTAGTAGCTCGTTTCCAGTCTATATCTTTAGAGCAGCTGTAACTAACACCGCCACTCACAATAGCTGGCTCGTTATCTGAATTTTCTAAAACAACGTCCATATTATCAATTTGGTGACGGTTGTTCTCGGAAGAAATCCATTCTGTAACACCAGTGGTCTTACCTGGTACTGTTTTCTTATGTTGAAGCTCGACTGAACATAAAATCGCTTTGTGGAGCTCTTCCTCTGATTCTTTCTCTTCTTCAATACTTTCAAGTATGTATTGACTTAAGCTGTTTGAAGATATTACTTTTTCAACCACGTTTTCTTCACTGTCTCTGGTAGCCTGCTTATTATCTACTGTAGTATGCTGAAATTTCCACACTTTATTTTTTCTTTCGTCAACAGAGTGCGTTTCCTGGAACAAAAATTAACATTCAGAGACATGTTGTTATATCTAACATTGAATATATTCAGAGAAACATATAGTACAAATACTTGCTATTTACGTACTGTCCCATGTCAAAAACGTGTTTCTTGACTTAGTTTTAAAAATAATTTTACACTTTTAAGTAATTCAAAAATTTTGTTTTAAAAACAGTTAATATTTATTTACGTAAATGTTGAAAGATTTACACAATATTTGTTTTAGAGCACAGACACATTGGGCTATTGCTATGTCCACTGCGGGGAATCTAACCGGATTCTAGCGTTGTAAGTCCGTAAACTTACCGTTGTCCCACCAGGGGACTTCAGCATTCTGACAGTTTCTCATTCATCTGTTGAACGTACCTGACAGTCTTCTGTTAACTGTTCTCCTTCCATTTTTAACCACTGCTGTACAAACGTGTGATGTTCTGGAAAATCAGCTTCGTCTTCGCTGGCACTCCACAGATCGTTATCCTGAAACATGATATCCAGTATAACATTTTATAGAATAGATAAATTATACGGTTCTGGTTTGGTAACACGCTGCATACACTCCACAGATCGTTGTCCTAAAACATGATATCTAGTATAACATTTTATAAAATAGATATTTTATGCGGTTCTGGTTTGGTAACACGCTGTATACACTCCACAGATCGTTGTCTTGAAACATGATATCTTGTAAAACATTTTATAGAATAGATAAATTATACGGTTCTGGTTTGGTAACAATCTGTATGTAACTTATATCTTTTCTACTAATTTTTTCACTTTTTATAGAGAAAAGAGAGAGTTAAAGACGTTCAACAAACATAATCTAACATACATTATATATATATATATATATAGAGAGAGAGAGAGAGAATATTTAGATTTTTTTCGAACACGCGGTTAGTAGCCATATATTTGGAAATCTTGTAACATACGTTATTCACACATAATCAGATTTATTCTGATCTATAGTATATAGAGCTATTATTTTTTATCAAAGAACAGAACAGTCGAGTTATTACATTAAGATCATGGTTACTACATTTTTTGTCCCCTAAGTTTACGAAGTTACAACACTAAAATTCGGTGTTCGATTTTCCGCGGTGGACACGGCAGATAGCCCAATGGTGGTTAGGACGCTTGGCTGGTAATCTGAGGGTCGCGGGTTCAAATCTCCGTCCCACCAAACGTGCTCGCTCTTTCAGCCGTGAGGGCGTTATAATGTGACGCTCAATCCCACTATTCGTTGGTAAAAGAGTAGCCCAAGAGTGGGCGGTGGGTGGGGATAACTAGCTGCCTTCTCTCTAGTCTTTCACTGCTAAATTAGGGACAGCTAGCGCAGATAACCCTCGTGTAGCTGTGCACGAAATTCAAAACAAATTACATTTTTAACACCGAGCAGCAGAGTTACTGGATCTTGAACACAGAACAGGGAAGCATGATACAGTAATACCGAGCAGCTGGAGTACTATAGCACACAAAACAAAGCACTTTACACCTTGAATACCAGATAAAAAATATGAGGAAAAGAAATATAAATAAACTGTTTAGATTGCCCGATATCATACTAAATCTATTAAAAGATTGACGACGTATTCAAAGTACAGGTTCTTGATCCTCTAGCATTGCATACTACCGCTCAAACGAAATCTTTTCTCAAGTTTGTGTTTCAGTCTTGTTCTCAGATAAAAAAAAATAAACTTCTCTTCAATTGTTTAGTAACCGAGTTTTAGTACATATATCATTATATACTAGCTTATACATATTGATTTTTACGTCCTTTAATACATATTTCATAATTTTAATATACTAAAAAAATGCATATTGATGTTTTGTTTCCAGTGCTGTAAAAAATAAACAAGTACCTCAATGTGCCCTAAATCTTTTCAATGTATTTATCTGAAGTATCAATAGCTATTTATACAATATGTGTGTGAATCAAAATAATAAAACATGAAAAAATATTATACTGAAATCAACAAATCTCATAAAACGTTTACTAATAACGTAACAAAAAGTACAATAACCACAGACGTTAATTACTCATATCTCTAAACAGCACTGAAACAAAAGTTAGTCAAAATGTTAGATTTCTTTGTTGCCTTTTGCGTAGCTACACAAGGGCTATCTGTGTTACCCGTCCCTAATTTTGAAGAGAAGGACTAGTGGAAAGACAGCTATTTATCATCACCCATGGCCAACTCTTGGACTTATCTTATTGGATCATACAGTGGGATTTGACCATCACTAAAAAGGCGTGATCTTTTATAATTTTTAATTTGCGTTAACGGGATACGATCCATGGATCCTCAGTTCCACTGTCTAACCATGCACTGAGTCGCGCTCGTTTCCAAAAATGTTAGATGTTGCCCGTTAAAAGTAGAAGAGTTGTATATCTGGACCGTTAGGAAAGTAAATGATAATTTTTTTTAAACAATAACACGACCAACTAAAACCGAACTAACCCTTGAACACTTTAAACTAGTTGGTTTCAGATCCTCAAATTCTTCGCTGTTTGTGACCTCTGAAGAAGAAGAATGGACAGAACTCAACGAATCGCTGCAGCTTGGGGAGCCTTCTAGTCTTTCATATGTCTGAACATGCTGTAAGATTTTAAAATGTTGTATGTTAAAGAATCTCAACCTCTTTGTTAAGAACATGATCTATGTACAGTGTCAAATTATCACTCTTAACTTATTGTTGACGACATTCGTTGTTAAGTTCCAAGGGGCCAACACATAATATTTGATTGTTTTAATTATTTAGTTATTTACATTAATAAGATTAGTTGTATATAAATAGTAATAAATTAGTATGGTTATAAAACAGCGACACTTAGTAGAGCATTTCATTCAAAGGTTTAACATTGTTTTTATATTGCGTTCTACAAACTTGCAATGAGAATATTAAGCGGAGTTACACATAAGCAAAATATCTCCATATTAATCATCAGGATCACAAACTTAATTCTTTTCTGCGCTTGTAAGTTATTAAGTTATACATAAACAAATTATCTCCATATTAATCATCAGGATCACAAACGTAATTCTTCTCTGCTCTTGTAAGTTATTAAGTTATAGATGAACAAATTATCTCCATATTAATCATCAGGAACACGAACTTAATTCTTCTCTGCGCTTGTAAGTTATTAAGTTATACATAAACAAATTATCTCCATATTAATCATCAGGATCACAAACGTAATTCTTCTCTGCTCTTGTAAGTTATTAAGTTATAGATGAACAAATTATCTCCATATTAATCATCAGGAACACAAACTTAATTCTTTTCTGCGCTTGTAAATTATTAAGTTATACATAAACAAATCATATCCATATTAATAATCAGGATCACAAACGTAATTCTTCTCTGCTCTTGTAAGTTATTAAGTTATAGATGAACAAATTATCTCCATATTAATCATCAGGATCACAAACTTAATTCTTCTTTTTTCTTGTAAGTTATCGTAAGGCTTTAAAATCACGGCTAACAAAATTTAAATTCTTAATTCACAACTTAGTCACGAAGAGTATATTGAAAGAATTTTTACCACAATAATTTCAGAACGAGAAGTATTTCCCGAGTAATTAGAAGCTCGTAATGATTATCATGTTAATATTTTTATATCTATCTACTCTAGATTTGTAACAATCTTGTTTTTAGTACAGTGGAAAGTAATTTTGAAATTATGCAACGTTGTTTGACATTACCAATTAACGAATAAAATATAAATAAAATGGTTATTTTATCTAAAACAAAGGTGCTTTCTTGGCTTAACGTTTCTGTTAATGTTTAAATTATGCAAAATACACGAATCAAAGCGTATCAATGTTTGAATTCCCTCAATCAACTTGAATATAATAAACCTGAACATGGTTCAACTATTAAATAATCATACACCACCATGTTTGGTTGCACAAAAACAAAAAATGACGATCTGTGGATAGGTTACTTTAATATGACAGTTTTCTCTTTTGCAAGAGGAACGTTTTTTCTATTCTTCAATCATAAAAATATATAATGTTAACTATAACAATGGATTCAGCATATTTTAAGCAATTCAAACCTGGATAAATGAGGCAACGTTGTTTTTCCCATCTTCTGTTTTATTCTTATTGTCGGTGTTTATACTTGTCGGGAAATGAAACTCGCTCAGTGAGGCACGTCGTTCTAAAGGATGGAAATTAAGCCTCGATTTTTCCACTTTACCAACACATGAGCAAGAATTTTTTAGCTGACTGGCAGACAAAACAGAGTCCGAAACTGCCCGCCTTAAACTTGCATGATGAACTACAGATATCGGAAAAAAACGGTTTTGTGTTTTGAGCACTTGAGGATGATAAGTCAATTGAAACGGATAACTGAAAACAGGTTTCTTTGAGATTACCCTTTCAAGCTTGGATAGTTTTTCTATTTTAGGCATTACGATGCGCTTTGTTTCTTCGCTACGATCTGACTTGTGTGGTTCCAATTGAACATTATTGTTGTGTACAAAGTTATTAGTAATGGATTTGTATTTATTTTCGCTACAAATATTATCAAAGTCTAATTTTTGTGGTGCATACAACGTGCTTCCACTAAAGCAGTTGAATGAGAGGTTTATACCTACATCTTTATCATCTTTGTCTGTCTCAGATTTGCGTCTATCAGTATTTTTTTCCGAATTGTTATTGATTTCAGAACTTCTCTCAATATCAAGAGAAGAAATAGAATGAACGTGTTGAATTCTCCCTTGATCTTGGGTTGAAGAAAGAAAAAAGTTATTCCTTTCACGCGCACCCTTCAACTGACTCATAGAGGAACTAGGATCCAGGAATTTGGTTTGCAAACATAGATTCAGCCCGAGTCCACTGTCTGAGGAAGAGATCATTTCTCCACGTTCTTTCTCCAGCGACGTTTTTGGATGCTTATCTGAAACGCCTGAGCTGATGCTCTTTTCGTAAATTAACGACGTATTGTTCAAAATTAACTTTGTATTTTGTGTGTCAGATTTTTCACTTTCAGTGGCGTCTACTTGAATATCACTAGACATGGTGGAATATCCTTCGTCCTTACTGCTATGATCAGGTTCAACACTCGATTTCAAGCTTTCAGCGGAATGGAGTAACCCAGAGAATTCAGTATCTAAATTAGAATATTAAGAAATTAAATAAATAAAAAATTTAGTCAGTTATTTTAAACATAATTGTTAATATGTATTTCTTTTTAATATAGATGACAAATTTGACACAGTCGTTCTAAAAGCATTCGATCAAAGTTTACAGTTGAAAGAGTTACATTTTTAGAAAAGGTACTTTAGTGTTTAAGGACAACGATGGAACCCTGAAGAATGTTTATGTTGAAATGAAAGTCATTTAACGTTAAAATACCGTACCTGAAACCAAGAGAGAGAAATTATCAAAATCAGCTTTGTCATTCGATTGACCTTTTCGAATAACAGTGTTTGTGCGTCGATTACTTGTTGATTCCACGAGTTTCGACACACTAGCAGACTCCAAAGCAGTCGATTCTCGAGACATTTCCCACGGAAAGCAACTATGTTTGTTGTATTTTGGATGATCTATGAAGATGGATGGACTGTTGTTTTCTTCTTTTGTACAAAACATTTTAAACTCATAATCAGCATTTGGGTAAAGCGTTCTTACACTTTCGGGTTGCAGATTTTCACCAATTTCTGAAACAGCATTACCAACACGAAAATAATATGGTAAATCGTCAGATATACGAGTCTCAGAGTTTGGAAGAATGTTTGATCTCAACTGTGAACTATTAAATATAACCTCGTTTGGTTCGTTTTCTGGCATAGAGAAATTGGCTACAATATCTTGAATTGTTCGATGGTTAGGAACAATCAGTTTGTTAGGTGATATCAAAGGAGATAAATTATCAATACTAAGAAGTTCCTTTTCAAAGGTTGGCTTGGATATTGTATTAACATGTTCCTTGGAATGTTGGTTGGCTTTCTGTTCCTCTTGTTGAATTTTCCATACTTTATCTAGTTCATTGAATTCTGACACATTTATATCCTCTGCTTTGCCCCGTTTTCCCAAATGTACATCAGAATGACTCTTGCCGATTCTTATCGTAGAGTCTCCCCAACGGACAGTATTAATAACTTCCTCTTCTTCTGTGTCATAATCGTTATCAGAATTGTTAAGAAGTTGTTCGTTGTGCGTAGATCTAATGAGTTGATGGTTGTTGTAAGGTGTACTGGTTGGAAAATGACTGTCCCAAAGACTATTTTGACGTTTGGCTTTTGAAGAATGTAGCAGAAAGTCCTCAGGATCTTGATTTATAATGTCCAATGTGGATAACTGTGATTGAAAATCCACCTGTTGAGAAAATTTTAAACTATAATTACATATATATTGAGATGGCACCTTAGTCCTATCTTAGAAATTTTATTTCTTATATAATTCAGTCTATGAGACGAATTAAGATAAGCTTAATCTGCTAAGTGAATAACATGGTTCCCAAGTGTTACAGTCTAATTAGAGATAAATGAGACAGGACCTTAGTCCCAAAGACAAAACGACATTTTACAAAAACAAAAAAAGAGTTACAAAATATTTTATATTGAATAATAATTCTATTTATATATATATATATGTATTACAGAAAATGGTTATACACTGAAAGAAAGAAGCATATTATATTTTAATACTGTTATTAAATCGCATATCTAAATCGATTTCTAACCATGTTCCCGTTACGTTTCTAAATCTGGTACTTAAGGAATTTCAGTTAAGTACACGAAAAAAGTAGTTCAAACCTGTAGTAATCGAGCAGCTAAGACACTGTTCTGTTGCTCCAGGTTACGCATGCGTTCTTCTAATTTTCCGCATTCTTCTCGCAAATTCTGTCACAAAACCCAAAATACACATAATTAGCTTTATGCTAACATAACAAGTTGAGGACCTTATCAAAACTACTAGGGCAAATCATCCGTTCACTCTGTACAAAGTTTAAAACTATTTTCAGATAATACATTTTAAACTTCTACCTTTCGTGTGTGTGTGTTGTTGTTGTTTTTTCGGTATTTTTTTTCAGAACCTTGCGCAAAGCTACCCAATAGAGCTATCTTTATATAGCCGTCTCTAATTTTTCAAATGATGGTCTAGAGGGATGTCAGCTTGTCAGCAGCACCCACCACTATTGTGCTTCCTCTGTGTGACCGAATAGTTGGGTTTTACCGTCCCTCTTAAAGTCATGGCTGCAAAATGTGGAACACGTTTTTATGCGGCAACGGGCCTTGAATCTTGAACCTTCGAATTCACAGTTCAAGCATGCTAACTGCTAAGCCACACCCTTGCCTATCTCGTGTAGTCGCTTTTAAGTATAATAAAATATTAAATGTTTTTTGAAAAGCACTACGTGTCTGGGTAATAATAGAATAAACTACACACATATCGCTGACTACCAGGCTATGAAAACTTGATACAAACGATTTCGTCTTTCTGATTAATTAAATCAAAAGCGGAACGAAAAAACATCAACGGGTTTCATAGAAAGAAGGCCTTGTATAAAAGAAGGTAATTAAAAACTGGTAAACAGTTTACATGGTAATGATATGGAATACATAATTTTAAAAATAATTACAAAAATTATTAAATAACAAAATAAGCATAGAATAACCGAAAATGAGTTAGTTAAGCATAGACAACCAATAGATCATAATAATTAAAAAACGAAACAACTTCTATATTGTCAATATTTGTAAGTAAAAATAAATTTAATTACCTGAAGTAATTTCCAGAATACATAAGTGATACGTCACATAATACACCATGCTTATTACTATTCAAAGTACCAAAAAATTACATCAGTCTTATCTCACTTCCGGCCCGGCATGGCCAGGTGGTTAGGGCGCTTGACTTGCAATCTGAGTTCGAATCCCCATTCCACAAAACATGCTCGCCCTTTGAGCCGTGGGGGCGTTATAAACCTACGGTCAATTCCACTATTCGTTGATAAAAGAGTAGCCCAAGAGTTGGCGATGATGAATAGCCGCCTTCCGTCTACTCTTTTACTGTTAAATTAGGGACGACTAGCACAGGTAGCCCTCGTGTAGCTTTGCGCGAAATTCTAACGAAACCAAACTTATCTCACTTCCGTACGAATACAAAAAGTCATAATAATGTTAAAAACTTTTATTATCATAAACAAAAAAATCAGGAAATCTATTTGCAAGGAAATAATATATAATAAATTTGAAACCATGGTCTGTAAAATAAATTTTTGAAATTCAATTTATAGTTATGTATGAACTTACGTAAAAGGTGATTGAACGATTTACTTAAGACATTTTCACTTATTTTCATGATTAAGGGGAAAGTCATTGGGTCGTATGGAGTTGCTTATTAATTGATACGTGAGGTACAATAGCTATGATATATTGGTTGTGAAATGAAAGACATAAAATTCGCTTTACAGGAAATTTATCAAAATAACGTTTTTTTTTGTTCAAACAAATTTTCCTCGACGTAACATGAACTGATTAACCCATGATTAGCATACTTTTATTAGGGGTTCAATCAAAAAATGTCAAACATATTTATAAAATGTGTATTAAAAAAAAAGCCTATTTCATTCAGCTACATTGATGAAAAACTGTCACGAGTCTGTCTCCAATCAAAAAGCAGAATCCACAAGCATGTGTTTAATGTAGAGTTGTAAGAGATTATTGCATCTTTGTAGGATAATGATAAAAAATACTGGATGTATGAATGTTAATGATTTATGGAGATTGATCTTTTAATGCAACCAATATAATAGTAAGTTAAGGTAGCATATACCCTTTACATAGCGTTATCTAGGTTATGGCCTTTATATCAGAAAATAACATCTTCATACTATGCTTATTGTATGAAAATATATTGAAATATGTACAAAGACATATTCTGGCATATGTTGTGTAACATTACCAAAAGAAATGTCTTATGTTCCTGATAACTTCTCAAACATGACTGAATGCTCCTGAAAATGAGTCCAGATTTTGATGGGATGTGAAGAATTAGTCTGAACTAAGGAAAACTCTGAAAATTAATTCAAAATAAATTGTGATGTTTTTGTACATTTAAAGAGTGTATGCTACCTTAAGTAAGGTTAGATACATAATATTAAACAACAGTTTAATTAGGCTTAGTTGATGTCTTCAACAATGTACACGCTTTTCTAATTATCTTATTTTAAGTTACAATTTGAAGAAAAAATCTAACTACTGGGTAACATATTTGCAATACTATTGTAAACGAAAAATATAAATTTGTTTTATCAATGTAATAGGGATAATCTGTACTTTTTTTGTAAAGTCAGATTACATGACTTAGATATCAATTTTTATTATGATTACATCATATTTTAAATTATTAACATAACTGTACAGACTCAAATTATTCCAAATGTATCTTTGATCGAATAAAATTTATAAATGAGATTAAAATGTCGACTCTGGCATGTCTATTTTTAGTATTTAACAATTTGTTATACTAAATAAAAAAAAGAAACATATGACTATCTATCTTTCGTGAAGAATTTTCTGAAAATGAAACTAAGCACCAAAAGATTGCAGTAGCTTGGGAATGTACTAAATAGCCTGAACTCTTTTTGGATACTTGGTAAGTATTTAAATAATACTTAATTAAAGAAGCCCAATAATCGGAATGTTTATGTAAGATGGACGCTAATTAATGATGATCTATTTTTCCCAATGTTTTAAGGATATCGGGATTATTTAATAATGATTTTTAAACTTGATAGCACTTGCATATATCTATAAATGATAAAATGCCATCATATTAAGCCTTATTGCAACAAATTAAAGCTATTTTTACTTACTACAATGGGAAAAGTTAAAATATTGAAATACTGATATGAATTATCACTCTTATATTCTCTAAATACTTAGTACTAACATTTTACACAACTTGAAGCAAGAAAGCTGATATTTAGTGCAATCAGTTTTAACATGCAAAAACTATTCAATATATGAACGTTTGAATTTAACTTCTTATCAGACTGCCGAATTTATTGAAATTAAACATTTATATAACTTTATTTAACTCCATATTTAGATGTACATTATTTTCTAAATGTCATTAGTACATATTTTCTCCAAACAGGTACTGATTACTTGCTATATCTGTGATATTAAGACGTATGCATAGCTTTACTTCATGACAAAACCAGTGCAACTTACTATATAAGAAAAACAACTGGATGGATATTGGAAACATTTGGTGACGATGCTGTGCATTATATCATTCCTATCATTATTCATCTGTTACAATAGCTCAGATATTGCTTGTTTATATAACAATAATTCACACCTTTTGTCCAAGCAACGCTTGCACCACTTGGTTAGCCACATCATCTATACAGCGTTCATATTGCAGTCTCTGTTCTTCGTTCTCCAGATGTAATGAGGAGTTCTCCTGTTCCAACAACTGAATACGTTCCAAAAGTACACGGCTAAATGATATTTCTTTTTCTTCTTCATATTTTTCTTTGTCCTGTAAATGAGTTAGGGAAACCTATTTTGAATCTGAAGGGAAAGCCAGCTTCTTCGTTTACACAGATAGCATTCGTTCAGAAAGAAGAAAAAAAACACAACTGATATAAGATGTATTTCAAATAACTGCTATATTATATCAAATTATATCTATGCTCATGTTTCAATACATTTCGTAATTAATTAATTATTATACTGCCCCTTTCAAGAGGTGCTGTGGAGCAACACTTTCTTTGACAATGGAATGTCTAAATATGTAAGTTTGTTATAGTAATCACCCATTAATGTTTTCACTTTGTGTAATTCAATTTTAAAATAGTTAATACGTTGGCATGTATAATAATAACTTACGTTTTCTCTTATTTTTTGCGTTTTGCTCAACAGCAGCAAGTTTCCTCTTTCAAGAGTGGCCATGTAGGCCTGATACTTTCTAAGTTTGTTCTGGAAGAGATCCATAACAATATTAAGTTAAATTTAATCAAAACATGTGATAAACAAAGAAAAAAAAACCTCCAGCTTTTCATATATCGTTAAAACGTCTTAGTTTAATGAGATCCACTTCTAATGTCTTAATGTTGTCATACTTAACGTCTTTTTTTTTAACATTTATTTTTAATAAGAAAAGCGTTAATTGCTTTCTTTAAAGAGTATGCGTGACGTGAGAAGCTTCGAAATTGGTTTTCTATTTATATAAGGAACTAATTAGCTTCTTAAGTCTAACAGACTTGCAAATACAACTTAAGAGAGACTTTTTAATACGATAATGAGCATTATTCTAAAATCAACCCTTTTAGGTAATCTATAAACAGTGGAACTTCACAGTCAAAACCATTAATTAATCTAAAAAACTGTAATAACAGAGATTATTCGTACCTCGTACTTTAAAGCAATAGATGTTTTCTCGTGCCTTAATTGATCTAGCTGAGATTTAAACTGCAGCATACGTTTCATCATATCTTCCATCCTGCAGAAACAATATTATGGAGTTTTTACTATAAGACCAAACTTTTATTCCCGATTATTTATAAAATGTGTTTAAACATTAAATTAGCAGCTTTTGTTTATTTTTAGAGCAAAGTCAAATTGGACTATCTCCTGTGTCCACCTCGGGAATCGAACCCCGGATTTTAGCGTTGAAGCTTGCAGACTTACCGCTGTCCCACCAAGGGACGAGCAACTTCCATAACGTGTATTTATAATATAGAAAATTCAATTATGTGGAATATTTTGAAGAAAATAAAATATGCATCAACTGCTTCCTAACGAATCCTGGAAAGAACATTTTTAGATAAAATGTGGAAACATTTTGCATTAGGAACATACCCAAGAAAGAAAAGTGTTTACAGGGTGACTCTAGGAATACTAATTCACTAACTCATTATATTAACAACTGACAACAGGTACAATAAATGCCTTTTTTTTGTTTTTTTGGCTTCGATGTGAATTTACATGTATTACAGATAATTTTGTAAGACGTATATCTCTGTAACATAGATGTGATACAAATAAGAAATTCAGACAAAAACTAGATTCCGAAACAAAGGCAGGATGAAATTTACTTTCAGATACAGGCTAAATACTCAAATTACAGATCACAAGCCCTTCCTCAGATTTAATAGAGCCGTTGTGTGCTGCAAGACCAGAATCAGTTAAACGTTCGTTTTACCCATACTTTGTTTGTTTGTATATCTGAACGTCCAAAGTCATAGCCTGAATATTGAAAATAACAACAAATTACACAGTCAAATATGCTGAGAAAAGTCTGTGTAATTAGTGTACTCTTTTGGCTTCTTAAAATATCTGCATATAATAAAGCTCAATTATCGTGCTGTTCGAGACAAAATTATTTTTCAATTATATGTCTGAACAATGGCTTTTTTGAATTATTTTTCTTATGGAAATGTAAAATTTCAAAAACATTTATTTAATACATTGTCTAAGATATACTGAAATACATTAGATATAAAAATTAAGTTCAAATAATCAACTGTGGATGATACAGTTTTCCTAACTGATTATCTTGTATGAAGATTTATGAAGAAACCGTTTGTTATCGTCAGGTGCTCTGAGCCTCTGTACAAAATTTACGTTCACAGAAATTATTCGATACAAATCCCTAATAAATACGTATTAAACAGAATGTCTGTGAGCCTCGTACGATTGAAGATTATACTATTTATATATATATATCTATGTTTGCATGTTATTTTAATTTATTATACAATTATATAATTATTTGTAATACCTTAGAATCACCAATAACACATTATTGCATTAACTTTTCATTTTGAGTTATTTTCCAGGTTGAATAAATACTTTATGATACGCACAACCTATTAGAAAAACGCAATTTACTTTCAGATATAGGCTCTTAATGTTCAAATGACAAATCAAATTATAAATTAAACACAAAAATATATATCTATATCATAATATTTACGCATAATTCTCGGTCAAACCCAAATCAGTCCAGGCTTGTATTTCACTAAGTGTTGGTTTCCAAAGACAAAACATGGGCTGGATACCAGAATCATTAGAAATATCCCTTAAAAGCAGAAGGTGCTTCCGTTCCGCCCCTAGTGTCACAACCGTATGTCTGCGGACTTACAACGCTAGAAACCGGGTTTCGATACCCGTAGTGGGAAGAGCACAGACAGCCCATTTTGTAGCTTTGTGCTTAACTTTAAACAAGCAAACAAAGTTTCCGTTCTGACTGGAGAACAGATATAACAACGTGATACGGAAAACAAAAATAGTTTTATTTACGTTATTTTAATTAATATTTATTCTTTGATTTATGCTAGTATATGTAAACGCCCTCTGGTTTTTAGTTGTAGCTTAAACAACAATAGAGATGTAACATCTTTTTTTTTAAATAATGGCACGCCTGAAAAACCAGATTATGAACATTTATTGTGTACAAAAAGCTATTTTAACAGTTATCTAAAGACTTTTATTACAACCAGTACCTTTGTAGATCTTGCTGAAGCCTGATTAGATGATTTTTACAGTAAGTACTTTCAGACTGAAACTCTTTCAGGCATAGTTCCGCATCCTGCCGCAACATTGTTTCTTTTGTCACAGCAACCTATACGAAAAAAAAGTAAGACATTTTTACTTTCCAAACTATCCCGCATCATAATGTCGATAATTACTATATATATCACTGAATGAAACTAACAGACAACTTGGCCAGAAAAACAGGCACGTTTGATGAAAATAATTATGATAATTATGAATATAATTGAAATTTCGTTAAACTGAGACTTCGCGACATCTGTGTTTGAAACATTCTTGTTGTTTATGTTTTTCAGACTATTCGAATAAACAACTTGATGAGCTTGAAAATAGTTTATCAAAGTAAACTAATAATTATTTTTACTTCAAACAGTCATAAAACGTTTAGCAAAGGAAAAAGAATGGGTTTGTTTGTTGAAGAGATAATCCAGTCCACTGTAGTAAGAGATAATCCAGTACTCTGTGGTAAGAGATAATCCAGTCCACTGTGGTAAGAGATAATCCAGTCCACTGTAGTAACAGATAATCCATTCCACTGTGGTAAAAGATAATCCAGTCCATTGTAGCAAGAGATAATCCAGTCTACTATGGTCAGATATAATTCAGTCCACTGATGACAAAGATAATCCAGTCCATTGTAGCAAGAGATAATCCAGTCTACTATGGTGAGATATAATTCAGTCCACTGATGAAAAAGATAATCCAGTCCATTGTAGCAAGAGATAATCCAGTCTAGTATGGTCAGATATAATTCAGTCCACTGATGAAAAAGATAATCCAGTCCATTGTAGCAAGAGATAATCCAGTCTACTATGGTCAGATATAATTCAGTCCACTGATGAAAAAGATAATCCAGTCCACTGATGAAAAAGATAATCCAGTCCATTGTAGTAAGAGATAATCCAGTCTACTATGGTCAGATATAATTCAGTCCACTGTGGTATTAATAAATCTTGCAGGGAAGGCCCTCTCTGAAAATTTCCTATTCGATCAGCGAATGCTCATTTTGGCCGCGAGTACGAGTGGGATACACATCGTGTCTAGAATGTATCAAATGACTTGTATACATAAAACGAATAACTACTGCTGTGAATAATCAATATTCAATTTCCCAGTAAAAAAACAAAAATCGTCAGAATACTCTGGTAGTAATATGTGTGGTATAACGACCGTAGAGAACGTGGAGCTGGAAGAGTCCGCCCATTCTAACCCCATCTAGCATGCTCATGAAGACCAAATGGCATGAAATAAACAAAATCCCATTTCCCCCTCCTATCTCTAAAATCCAAACGTAAAATATGAATGTATCTTCATATTACTTTCGATTCGTCGTGGACTGTCATTACAATAAAAGATGTAGTCTTGTTGTGAGGCTGATACGTAATAGAATTACATTACAGGTTATGGGTTTTTTCCCTGGATATATAGTACTCATCCACTATACTTATCCAAAATATATCGAATAGGTTTTGATAAAACGTTGTCAACACTCATGATCTGCATAAAAACATAATGTAGAGTGTACATATTTCGGGATGAAACACATTATGTAGAGAGTGTACATATTTCGGGATGAAACACGTTCTGTAGAGAGTGTACATATTTCGGGATGAAACACGTTCTGTAGAGAGTGTACATATTTCGGGATGAACACATTATGTAAAGAGTGTACATATTTCGGGATGAAACACGTTCTGTAGAGAGTGTACATATTTCAGGACGAACACATTATGTAAAGATTGTACATATTTTGGGATGAAACACATTATGTAGAGAGTGTACATATTTCGGGATGAAAAACATTATGTAAAGAGTGTACATATTTCGGGATGAAAAACATTATGTACAGAGTGTACATATTTCGGGATGAAACACATTATGTAGAGAGTGTACATATTTCAGGATGAAACACTTTATGTAGAGAGTGTACATATTTCGGGATGAAACACATTATGTAGAGAGTGTACATATTTCGGGATGAAACACAATCATTTTTACATATGAACTGCGGTATACATGTTTACAATGGCAGATCAACGCAATGGTTGACGGGCTGTAGTTCCAGGGCCATACCAATCATGAGAACAATTGCTATTTCGATTAAGGGTGTTAGATCACGTTTAATTTGTTGAAAAACGAAACGTTTGTTTGTAAAAAAGACGTTAAAAATACGTCCAACTCTTGACACATTTGATGTATCTACAATAAAATGAAGATACGGGAGCTGTAGCGTCATTTTACAAAACATAAAAAAGAACTGATATGCTATTTAAAAATCAAATGGTCAAAATAACATGGTACATTACTACTTGTTTAAACACAGAATTCTAACATAAAAATACAATAGTCCCTTGATCCCCAATAGGTTTAATTTGGCCCTGCATATTTAAGTTTAGGAGATTATTCTTCCAAATTTTGCTATATCTTTATTCTTATCAATTTGACAAGTCCTGATAACTATCATCTATACTTCGGGAAGCGTCTTAAGCTTTCTTAGTTGAAAGTCCTTGGTTTTGACTTGAATACTTAAATCCTTGGCTGATATTGTAAGTAAAGATGTCTTGCAACACTTTAACAAGGTGGGTAATACAAACAAGAATGTCATATTCTCCACAGAATAGTGTTCTTAAGAATAAGTTTTACATAAAGAGGTGAAAATGAGAACTTGTGCACTTAAATTTGACCTTTATTTGCAACAACAACAAATAAACCAATGAAAAACTTAACAAATTTATTATAGAGTTTGAATTTCATGTGTTCAATAAAAAAAAGGGCTTTATGCTTTTAGGAAACATCTAAAATACGAACTTGCATACAACTATAAACAATATATTTTCATATAGTTTGAAGAAAGTTAATAAATAAACTATACAAAATCTTAAACTTACGCCTATGCTATTAACAATGTAAGTACTATATCAACAATTAAATGGCCTAGCCATACATAAACTATACAAAATCTTAAACTTACGCCTATGCTATTAACAATGTAAGTACTATATCAACAATTAAATGGCCTAGCCATACATAAACTATACAGTTTGAATTTCTCTTCTTCCCATTCAATTAATCACTGGATGAAACAGGAAATTAAAAAGAGAGAAAAACATTTCCGCTAAAGCTTTCCGTATTATGAGTAAATCGATATCAACGAAAATGAACGATCCAGATTATAAAGCGGCTTACGGTTTTATCTTATTTTGGGCGCTGGCTGTCTCGACGTACCGTAGTCATCCACGCACAGTCCTAATATTAGTGGCACTTAAACTTTAATTTACATTGCGGTACAGATTTCGTTCATGGAACATAAATACTCTGCTTGATACTTCATAAAACACAGGTTCCGGCTGAACTAAACCGAGAATTCTGTCTGCCGGGTAGTTGACTGTAGTTTGCAATTGAAGCCATAGCTATTCAGGCACTAAATCGCCCGAATATCTTCTTTATAGCGTCGTATTTAAAACAACACTGCTCTGCCACTGGCATACTTTGATTTATTAACTTAATAAAGAAAGATTTAATGACTGAATAAAAACCATAGTTTACTGCGAGTGATATTAAGTGAAGAGTTATACAACACATAAATTGTTGATACTGCTAAACCGAGCAAAGCAATATTCCTTTTTGACATTTATCGATCGCAAAATTAATTTAAGCCTACAAGAAAAACACAGAAGTTCAAGAGGACATTAGTGCGCTTATGATGCCTCATTCTTCACAAAACCAGTTAACACAGATATATACATGGACTTATTAAAGATTATTATATATTAAACGGTGTATAAGTACAAACGTTCAAATCTGACATTTTTATCATACTACAGATGTCCAAGGTTTATAAATTATTATATGTTCGACTAAAAACCAAGAAATGATGGAACTAGCATGCCACAATACTGATCAGCTACATATAAACTGTCAGTTTTTTTAATATTTTTTTTTTCAACCAGCTTAGTATTTTCAAATAATACTATCATTTACGTGAGTAACAAAAATGTTCGTTTTTACATTTTTCTTTTCAGGCAAAACTATATAGCTCGTTTTTTTGTTTTATGAAACCATACAATTGAAATGTTCAAAATGAAATCAGTTCTTGTTTTAAAACACCGGTAGACTATAGACTAGAGAAGACTGAAAAACTTCCAAGAGAGTCACAGAAAACTAAGTCAAGGACTTAACGATTGTCACGAATTTGTTTTTTGAAACAGCAAAGGGTAGATTTTAAAATGCACAATACATTCTTCAACGCTCGAGTAACGTTTATGTTGGCACTAGGTATTGTACATGATCATTACCCCATCTACATTTAATAATTTAAATAATTAAGATGTTAGTGTGACTCACTTATATATATATATATATATATATGCACGGTGTGGACGTCCCTATGGAACTAAATAAAGTATTGTTAGCAATGCTTCACTATTTTATTCTAGATCTATGTATTGTTTTGGTTAGAACGAGAACTCTTGATTTAAAGTGACGTGATCAATTGTGACGCATAGAAATTTCGCGAGTCCCTTGAATAGTGTTGAATAATACGAAGTTAGGCTAGAAAGAAACGGGCTAGATTATATGCCAGGTTTTTTTTTAGCTCATTCAGTAAATTTAGTTACAATCAGTTCAGTAACATATGTTTGAATTGGCATTTCAACAAAGTAGAGTTTGCTAGAAAATGACTCTTTTTAAATGTGAATTAGGCCTATCGATGAATATAGCCTTTTGAACTTGTACGTTGTGGTCGAAGAAATAAATCACTTTCTTTACAATTAACTGACCTAGACTTTGGATTATGATTATATAATAATTAAAAAGAACCTGCTCAACGACAGAAACCATTAAAACAGTATTACAATAAGTATTTCAACATATATCTATACAAACGCATCTTGCTGCGGAATGTCAAGAGAGACTTTTTGTGCAATTTTTATGATATAATAATTCCACTGATTCTAAAGAAAACTCGCATACTGAGGGTAATACGGAAACAAAAATCTATAGCTTATAATGAGACCCTAATATGTCATATTCACAATTCCGGGTGATTAAAAACACACCTATTTTATCTAC